GGATTCCCAATTCACTACATGTGGCTAATGGCTAGCCCTGTCTTAAATGACCAACATTTTGATTCTGCAGATGCTTACTTTCCTCATGTAACCCAAATGCAAGGATTATTATTATAACTCAATTGAGTTTTGCTGATGCTCTACTTCCTGTTGTTTGCCCGATTCCTGGTGATCGGAACTGCTTCCTTTCCACCAACTACTCCCTTGGCATTGCCTAGTTCTCCAAACATTGGCACTTTCCCCCAACATCTAGGGCTCGTAGCCAGTTTTAACAATGGCATTCTGAATGTGCAGGCTTCTATCAAGACACAATGGGGATTACATCTCTCTGTTTGTGGCAGAGGTTTGAAGAAACAACCCTTCTTAAAGTGCAAGCTGCCATAAAGGATTAACTGTTCCAACAGACCACCCTGCTCATGGCTACCATCTCTTTAAAATGAATCACAGGAGTTTCTTCACAGTTCACAGGTATTAAACTTCAGCCATTGTTTGATATAACTTTTGACTGTGTTGGATAGGCCTAAAAGAGCATCCTCAGTTGTCCCAGTTGAAAAAGAAAAAACACATTCAAAGAATTGCTTCAGATTTACAGTCTATTTGCTATATTGTTTGTGTCTGCTGGTGAGAGTTGTCATGAGGCTGCCATTATTTTCATTCTTCAATTGTCTGGAGTCACGTTTTGGGGCGTGTATTTGTTTAACGTGTTTACATGTCCCCTCCCTCTCCACTTTCAAATCCCGCCTAAAGACCTTCGTTTTTGCTCACGCTTATGATCACGACCCCAATCCCTCTCCCCCTGGCTCGGGATCAGACTCCACCACTGTCAAGCGCTCCAGGATGCCACCCCGTGTGAAGGGCGCTATATAAATGCAAATTGTTGTTCTTGTTCGTGTTTTGATTAACATGTATACATTTGGCTATGCTTTGGGAGTGACATAGATATGGTATTCATGGTATTATCGAATCTACTTTTAATTAACCAACAATATACTATTATCTTTGCGATATTCTTTCATGTTTTATGTCCTTTGTAGGCAGAATAATCTTTGATAAATGCTTAATCTATTTTTGCATTCCAATTGTTAACTAAATGCTAATAACTGTGCTTGCATATTGTCTCTCAATTACATTTGCTGAAACTTTGCCATTAAAATCATTCATGCGGAAGACCACTACTGTGAGGGAAATTAATATTTAACATTTATAACATTTATAATTGTAAGGTATTGGGTGGGAATGAAGATAATTGAGTCCAAAATGAATTTTTCTTATCCAAGAATTTCTCATGTTCTTATGCAAAATGTAATTTCTCAACAGTCAGAGAATAATGCTACCATAGATTATATTTTAGGCATTGGCATATATAGACCATGCTTTCAGATAAACTAATTTCTGTTTTGATGTTAGGATATGCAGAGAAGTGCCAATATCTTTGCAGAAATGAGGTGCTGTTGTGGTTAACATGAATGGAAGTGGGCTCTAACTTGTGATATTCGCAAAAGGGGTATCCACGGACAAATAATCTTCTAATCAAGCATCATCCTCAAAACATTAACCTAGCTTTTTCTTTCAAATGCTGATGGGGCTACTGTACATTTCCGTTATTTACTATTTTGATTTCCAGTGTTCGTAGTTTTTCTTTGCAGCTGCTGCAGGTTGACTTGCAAGGTTCCGATTAGTCTACATTCCAACATTTGTAAGAGCATTTCAATTAATTTCATAAAATATGTACACCAGTGAATCAATCAATACTTCTGATGTTTTGTATGTCAATTCTGCATTCCTCAAGCTGATTATATTAGTGGTGATGGGGTGAAAGAATATATTTCCTCATTGTAGCATGGAAGCTTTGTGGCCTCCCAGGTGTAGAATACATTTATTCATATACAGAGGTTCCTTACATAGTCCCAATAATGTGCCTTTTACCCAACATCAAAGTAGCAGTCACCCACAATGACAAGCATTACATTTCCACTTCCTACGCATAGCTGTACTTTGAGTTAGATTGGTAGGTTGGTGACCAATTATAGGACTTAGCTCTCACTTCTGCAAATAATGTATTTTAGTTAAGACCATGAGACAAAACAGAGTAGAGATTTTCATACCATCTAGATTCATATATAGCTTCTGAAGTGGTACAGAATATGCTCTCTGGGATATTAAGAAATAATTATTTATAACCACAATTCTCTCAAATCATAGTGACACAGGAAGGTTATTCCTGTTGGGTTACTATGTTTAAACAAACTGAAAAATGTGAAGCATTTTGTTTTGGGAAGAAAATTAGAAAATGGAAATATACTCCAAGTAGCAAAATTCCCAATGGATTGGAGTAACAGTGGGATCTAGGGGTATCAAATGCAAGGGTTATTATTATTATTATTAAATATGGAGATCATAAAATGTGGGATTACCTGTAGAGAAGGCTGCTGAAAGGTCAAACTGTATTCTGGGTTTTATGTGCAAGAAGCCAGATCGGCCACCATTATCATTTTGTGTGCAGTTTTGGGCAGCACACTGCAGGAAACATATTTAGAGTTTAAGAGAGGATGCAGCATAGATTCATTCGAGTCATACTGCAGAGAACTTACAGCTATGAGGAGATAAGATTATAATTAGTTGCATGAAGAGGGAAGCTAGGGGAAAAAAATGTCAGAGTGTGGAATGCATTGCCAGGAGTGACTGTTGGAGGATGGACATCAGAGATTATGGTGAAAGAGCAAGGAATTGGGTCTAGGATAGATGGCTTAATTTGAGGAGAAAATACAAATAATGATATAATAGGTTGAATACCCTCCTATTGTGTCATAGATTTCTATGTACATGTACACAGCATCTACTGGACTTTGATGGCCAATCTGACTGTTGCAAGGTATATCCTTTGCCAGTTGAATAATTCATGGTGCTGAATCCTTACAGGAAAACATCAGTTGTGGATTATTTGACCCACATCCAATTTACTGCCAAACTCATTAAGCAACTAAAGCTTTGAGAACTAGTGGAATGCACAGACTGGATTCACCGGAATGCCTGGGTGGAGCATTTCAGGAACCATACAAGAGGCAAGGCCAAATGATTAATCCCAGATGGAGATTGTATACAGCAATGGTAATAAAGCTCTTTCATATGCATTAGGAAGGCAAAATCTCACTTTCCAATAGTGGTTCACACAGTTCTTTGACAGTGAATATAAGAAGGGGCATTGACACTGATTGGGTGAGATGACAGAACAGACAAATTCAGTGACATTAGAGAGTCATTAGGAGTTAGATTACAAGGTTTGGGCATATGTATGTTACCTTTTAGATAGATTTATGATGCAAATATGTCTTCACTAGAATTCCACCCACATTATTTGGACGAAAAATGCAGTATTTGTTTAACATGTAAGCTATTGTATGTGAATATTGTTTACAGTGTGTATGGATTATGGTACTAGCTCTTCACTGATGAGCAGGGCTTCCTATTTTATCCTTTGCTTATACATTCAGCAGCTGGAACTTGGACATTGAAAGGAATATCTGGCAGATAGTGATGATTTCCTTAAAATTAACCAGAAACTAACAATTTGTTTTTATCTCTAAGCTATTCCACCCTGCTTCCTGGGAAGCCCAGGCAAGCTCATCACATTGATTAACATTTCAGAACCATCATTTGATGAGGAAATATCATCCTTATAGTTTATTGTGTTCTGACATAAGAAACAATAAAAATCACTGAAGTTCCCAACTTATGCTGCTGATACCCAAATAGACATGAAATGGTTGTCTCCACGCCCACAAAATATTCCCATTGTGCATGATTTCAATGATCCTCATTTATGTCTGCACGATGACTGATAACATTTGACACACCTACCAAACAACCTTCATTATATTTTCATTCAGTGATTGTAACAGTGCATATTAATGCTAGCTCCCTTTCTCTCAGCTCTAAATCTTTTGTTTCATGTATATGAGAGCATTCTACACTCTTGAATCAGAAAACAATTTCACTTAAAGAGTTCCACATTTTAAAATCCGTTAGTACTATAGATAGTGAGAAATGATTCTGCCCTTAATCAAAGGCCCTTAGTTTTTTTTAAAAAAACAAATAACCGCTGGTGTTCAGGTGTAGTTTTATAATTACTGTGATTTTTTTATATAATGTTAAATGTTGCACCTTTTACAGGTTGTGTGCAACAAAAATGTGAAGGCCCTTTTTCGTGTGGATATTATAAAGGATTATTTGATGCAATCCTTTCCATTCTTTGTTGTGTGCCTCACATATTGATTGCTTTGCAGAAAGCTGAAAAAACCCCCACAGCATCGCAAGAGTTAATATATGGTGAGGTTATTGGATCCAATCATATTCTGTTGTTCAGCCTCTGGGTTAAAAACGTATGTGAACATGAGGCAGGTTGTTAGAGAATGCCCCAATCCCTGCAATTTCAAGTATTTATGAGAGGGGAAAGAATCAATTTAATTTGTCAGACTGTCCTTTTAAGGCAGCACAGTTTGGGTGTGGCAGATTACTTAATTAATAATGAACTGCAGTAGCATTTTGGCACCTTTCCAAAAGACCCCCCCCCCCCCCAGAAATTAAGTGTTTTGCCTCTTTTTATGACAATGCTATTGATAAAGAAGTGTTTATCATTGATGTATTGCCATTTACCCCCTTTGCAACACAGAATCCTAGGCATTCTGACTCTGCAAAATTACATTCTTATCAATGTTGGATGATGATATGTGGATGCTGAATCAAGATGCTGAAGAAATTCAGTACTTAAATTGTTAATACTCTAGAAACGTGCACACTTAGACAGTGGCCACTGAGGGCATAGAAGAGATGTTTAATATTTAATGAGCTGTCTGGGAGTGGTGGCATGGGAGGGGGAAGCTGGTAGGAGAGAGTGTAGTGAGCAACAGCAGTTGACTGTGCAGCTGTCGGCAGTGCTTGTGTGAGCAAGAGAGGAAGAGAGAGGGGGAGTGTAAGAGACACACAGAGAGAGAGAGAGAGAGAGGGGGAGAGGAGCAAGAAAGAGAAGAGGAAGGGAGAGAGAAAAGAAAGGAACACAGGAATCATGTTGTGCTGCATTAGAAGAACTAAACAGGTACAGGATATATTTTTCAGTTCTTGAAGCAACATTTCTGCAACATTCTCTTTCTTCAAAAGTAACATATTGAGATGCTACATTATTATAGATGGCTGAAATCTAAAATTGAAAAAAGCAGCACCTTAAGAAGATGTACCTTTGAGTCTTCAAATGTCTGCATGAAAAGAAACTAAGCAGTTGAGGATTGCAAAATGAAAAAAACTACATTAATGTTTATTGTGTTATAATACATTGTTTTATTTCGAAGATTTAATTGTGAAGATATTCTAGATGAATTAAAACAATTTATATGTAGTTCTATCCTTAATAATTTCAGTGAATGGTAAATGGGAAGATTAGCTAAAATAATTCATGTCAAGATCTCAGTTCAGAATTGATTTTAAGATTTTTTTCTGCTGAAAGTTGAAATACCTGAATGCATCAGGTTCAGCACAGTGACTGGTTTATTTCAGAATCTATTTTTTGTCTCATGTGAAAAAAAAATGCTTAATTGATTGGGGTGCAACTACTGAAGAGTTTTAAATGTATTTTAACTGAATGGTTATTTCAACCAATATGAATTCAAGCCAAAAATGTTACCTAAAACAGATGCACCCCAGTCCAATTGTCTGGGATGCTGGATTAGCAAAGATGATAGTAACAACTACTATCACATTGCAATAAAATAAATGAACGGATGGGTTTTCTTCTCAGGTATGGTCAGTTTGTCAGTAATTAATCGAGTCTTGCAATGGAATTTCAGCTTATGACAATCGGATGGTTTGGCTGCAGAGGTACAGCTTTGGGAGTGGCACTTAATATATGTGGCTGACGTGGAATATTGGTTCCTAGTGTTGGGGGCGGTGGTCTCTCCTAACCCTTCTTTGTGTGCAGAATTTCATTGCAGCTTTTGTTTTCAAAAGACAAGAAAACTGTTTGATTAATGTCTTAAGGAAAAAAAAAGGTGTTCAGTGAAACACTGAATATCTGAAAGATGATAAAGGAACTCAGCAAAGCAGAGAACAGTGCCAAGAGTATCATTTGAAGAAAGGCTCAAATTCAATGTGGGAGGCAAATGTTATTAATGTCCATATTTATGCTATAATACAATGGATTTACAATCGATTATGTATAGAAAACATCTGAAAAATGCATTTGTTGATCAAATGGCCAACAGTAACTTTGTAATGAAAAATTAAAGGGATGCTCACAGCAGGAGCAACAGTCTTCAGTCTTGATGTTGGATGGGTGGACATAGTGGCTACTGCTAAACACCAACTATTGTATCTATTTTGTATTAATTTCACAAGAATTGAAAGTGATACTCTCCACAAGATTCATTGTTCACTTCAAACAGCAGAAAATGTCTCCACCTAACCAAATTGTAGATTGAAAATATTTTTCGGATTCCCATTTGGATGTAAATGTAGTTATAACAATTTTTTTCAAAAAAATCAATCTATTCCATAAAAAGGGTAGAATTACAGCCCGATTTCGATGATACTGATGAATGTTGCATGGGACATGGAGAAGATCTAATTCAATTTAGAATATGATGCTATCAAATCCTCAAATCCTATTCCAAGTATGCATCCAATATCTCTATCCCCAAAATTTGGATGACACAATCAGTGAAATTAGGTTTAGTAAAATGGTGCATTAGGTACACATATCAAACCTCTTTTTTCTCCTACACCTGATTTTAGACTAGTACAACCATTAGGGATCATTCGGCTACTTAAACTAGTCTGTAATTTGTGACAGAAATGAACAATCGAACAGAAATAATACAAAATCATGATTATAATACACACCAGTCAATGGGTATTATGACCAATGGGAACATTTGATCATGCAATGATTGTTTCTCCTACATTGCACACTGAATGATGATTAGGCGTGTCTGGATAAAGGGAACATTTTTTTCACACTACAGGGTGTTGCCACAGAAAGGCTTCTTCAGCAATGCTTTAGAAAATGTACAATTTGATAGATTTTTTTTGCTTATTGCAGGAATTAAACCTTAGTGATTATTAATTATCAATAATACACAATATTTCTTCATTATTTCTTAATTCAATAGAGTTCTTTTGAGTTTGGCATTAATGGGTTCAGTTGCTGAGATGATCAATCAACATCTGACGCCTAATGCATTGTCAATACAGCTATTACAGGAAAAAATCCATTCTGAACTGGAATGCTCCGTTTTAATTCTGATTCATTTAAAAAGAGGAAGAAAATTGTTAAGGCAGCAAGAGGGTGGTACAAATTGCAGCACCTAGAAAAAAAGAGATGACGAGTTAAATATTCTGTCTTCCTAACATCTGCAGTCAACTATTTGTAACTGTATGAGTAAAATAGGGTTTGCCAACACATATCCACAAAGGAAAGTCAAAAAAGACAAAGGAGGATTGACTTCTGCAAACCTAATTGTATAACTGAATAATTGTTATTCCTGTAAGACTGCATATGATGCAAGGACCATTATGTGTTTCTGGAAGAAAGCAGTTTACTAGCCCTCTAGAGAATACACTTTATCATTTCCGATCATGCTGATGATGTAAACCTTTATGCCATATGATGAGCTTTTGTTACTGATCAGATATTAATAGGCCTGAACGCCCTCCTAATCTCAGCCTGAAAGATTATTTTGTTTTAAAATTCAATAAAGTGCTCAATCGTAGAAATTTCTTAAATTGGCCTTAATTAGGAAGCTGCCTTTTTAAGGTTTCTCATTTCCAAATTAAGACTGAATTAAAATGTTTTTGCAATTTTGTGCTATCTGAATTGTTAAGACAAAATGGTCTTACAGGCTAAAACAAAGTGGAACTTTGAGCCCAACATGTGGTTTACACGTGTTTACGTTTGAAAACTAAAATGTAAATGTTACCAATAAAAATGCTTATGATGTGTAGCTTTGCATATCACGCTGATTCAAAATGAAGACCATATAATTTCCAATTCATCACGTTATATTTTCCTGTATTGTTTTATGGTAATTGAATTAAATAGGATTAAAAAGCTTCATTGGATGCCATTCTTATTTACTGAATCCCTACTCACAGCCATTCATCTCTCAGGTCGCAAAACATGCAGATATACAGTAGATGAGATGTTTTTTTTTCAGTTTTCTCCAGTATGAGAGATGCTCACTCAGAAAGTGGGGTGCAAACTGAAAAAAGTAAAAAATATTTCCTACCTTGTACTTCCTCTGCCCTTTCATGATTTAAATTGTATGCAATGCACTGTAAGCCTTGAGATAACAAATGAGCTAGTTTAGCATCAATCACAACCAAGGACTAAAGCCTCTTCCCACAGCTCTACAATTGTTTGTATTGTGCAGTCAACAAAAATGAATGGGGGAGACATTTCTGCAATTTCAAAACATATGGGCTTCAGCGCAGACTTTATGACAAATTTAGAATAATTGTACTGAAATTTCCCCCTCAACCTTCCACAATTAGTTGTATGGATAGAAGGAGGTTGATAAGATTTTCTTCAAATATATCAAATGCAAGGATTATTATCAATATTATGTAAAACAATGCACTTCATTAAAATGCACCTGTAGGTTACCATTCTGAGAATGTACTGATTATAGAGGAGGATTTATTAAACAAAAAAGCAAACATTCCTATAACCCCTCCTATTACAATACTCTGTTTTGTGTCTCTGATTGCTAATTATAATGGTTGATGTATCTGAGAGAAGGCCAACACTGTCCCTGTGGGAGAGCTTAGAAAATTGGTGTGCCTTCTGGCAGACAGACAAGCTCCACATTGTTGGGAGTCCTGAGAGCATGCCACCTGCCCTAAGGCGTGTGTACCAAGAGAAACCAGTAAGGAGAGATAACTGGGGGAAAAGCAGGCTTAGAAAAAATATATGAAGATTTTGTTGTAAAAAATGCAACTTTTAGATTTATAATGTTGATTTTCTTAAATAATTAATGGATTGTTGATCCATTGTTAAAAAAAATTCCCTAAATAAACCCTGTATAGTTATTATACTATTATTGAAATGGTTTCTAATAATAATAATAATAATCCTTGCATTTGATATCGCACTTTTCACGTCTTCTAGAGGTCTCAAGAAGCTGGCTGCACTGTGCACTGGACTTGTGGCTTGTAGATTTCAGCATTGTTCTTCTGGTCAGCTGATTTACTCAAAATATAAGACTAAAACCCATATCCCACTTATCAACAATTCATTGCTGTGAAACATCAACTGGAAATCCAATGGCAGGCATGACAGCCTTCTTGACATTACCATTCAGAAGGGCGTGGCAAGCGGCTGCCTCCAGGCCACCGAACAACCAAATCAACATTTTCAGTACCATAAAGTTGCTAAATCCAACGCATGGGTTAATTGGCACCATAGGTGTTCATGAACACATCACATCATTGCAACGTCCACTTCTCATTTCAATCTTATTCCATAAAATGACTCTTTTGAGCTTCCACCATTCAAAACTCACTGCTAAAGAAATATGTTTGAAGTTAAGTATTTGTGTTACAAAATGGAACTGAAAATACGTGGTGTTTTTGGAGAAATCTGTTGGGTTGACATTTAAATCTGTCACCCCATATGTTTCACAATTTTGAGAAGCTCTTAGCTGAGTTCACAGTAGGATTAATGGCAGAATGCGGCTTTACCTTTCCCCTTCCCACTACAAAATAAAGTCTGTCCTCTAACACGATTGTAATGGATGTAAGCTTTTAATATTTTATCTGAGGATCTATCAATGATGTCTAAAGTAGATGCCTCAGGACTTGTTGCTTTAAATACATGCTTCCAACAGAATGACCAATGCTATTACTGTTCCTGATCCCTTACCATCATTCATGGACATTTGTCTCTTCTCTCCAATGTAATATATCTAAACAATTTTCAGCTATGAGTTTTATTTCCAGGCTACAAATAGAATTTCACATGACCTCTGATAATCGTGTGTGGTTTTGTCATCAAGGGCCAGAAAGGAGGTGTAATGACCCAAGTTTTAGTCTGTCCTAATTCTTCCC